AAGGCGAGGCTCACCACCCATTTATCCCTCCGCCTTTCAATTAGCCCCACATGTGATTATCGGCCAGGCTGGCACAATTAACTAACTCAAGCTCCAACAACACCGACTATATGGAATCAAACTGATAACAGCAACTTCGAAAAGATTAGATAGGGAGTTTAGGGAGAGGTGAGGAAAGGGGAGGGAGAACGGTTGCACAACTCCAAGAATGGAATGGATGTCACTGAATTGTACCTGCAGAAACTGCTGAATTGGTGTGCTGGATGTTCTCAACAGCCAAGGAAACATTCAAACCCAAACCTGATGACGCGCAGTTCTCTGCACACATGGTTTTACACAGTCAGAGCCACCTCTCTGGTCACTAACAACACAAGCAAATACTGCTATCTGTGTTGTCCCACCTTCTGACGCAATGCGTAGACCATAGACACTGCTCGCAGGTGGATGGTTTTGGATTACATGGAGATACCACACTTCGTCGAACCTGTGCCCAACTAATGGACGGTTAGGGTTGTTTCTAGTCAATCTACAAATAATCCTGTAACACACGTGATGTATGTACATTTTACAGGTGCATGAGCATATATGAGGGATAAATTTATATAATGAAATCCTTCAGTTAAAAGATTTAAGTATATATCTATAATCTTGATAAATACTAGGAAGTATTTGGGGGGAAGTTCAAGGAAATTCAGAATGAAAAAATAATGGCATTTTGCCACAAACTTTTTACAGTCCCCTCATATTGCCATAATACCCCCCCCCTTAGAACTTGTGCCGATCTTTTATTCTCCTCCAAAATGTGTACAACAGAGAGATGTGATTTAAAAGATGGAAATACTATCCTAAAACAAGAATACTGATTTTCTATGGCTTTTATCACCCTTACAGGACCAAAGGTCCTACAGAGGAAAACAGTATAACTAAATATAGTTAGTTTGTGTTTAATACACCTTGGTGGTAGAGTGGGCTATCCATTGGGCTGCTAATTACAAGGTGGGCACTTCAAAAACACCAGCAGCTGAGAAAGAGAAAAACAAGGCTTTCTCCTCCCATAAATATATGCCATCTCAGAAACCCACAGGAGCAGTTCTACCCTGTCCGGTAAAACGGAATCAGAATTACTATGAATCAGAATCGACTCCGTGGCAGTAAGTCTTACAGAATTTGTATTTAGTTAACTCAATGAACCTTACTCTCTTCTCATCCACTGTAGTGGGTTCCAACTCATAGTTGGACATGCTGAGATGCAAGTATTTTACCCTGGAGTGGTGCCGCCAATTTACTCACTCCAAGTCAGAGCAGGAGCTAGAACTTTGTATAGAAGGTGTGTGCCAATGAGGAAACCAACCGTGAAGCAAGCTGTCTTTGTGGTGCCTTCTTTGAAACCAGGATACATGGAAATACAGACCTTCTTCTTTGCAATTTACATGTTGAGGAGTCATGTAGTGAAGCTTTGCATTAACTCTGGCTTCAGGGTAACCACGGGAAACAACTGTTGACCAGAAGTAAGCAAACAGAGCAATAGGTTTTCTCAGTCTTAGGTCAGTCTCAGGATGGCTTTGTTGAGTAACTAGTTATTAGTGCCAGCTTTTAATCACTAACAGGCAGGTAAATGAGAAAAGACTCTCAAGAGTTATTTGGCCCCTCCAGGTGACATCTGCATCCAACCTGTTTTTCTGAGAAATTTCTAAAACTTCCAGAGACTGCATTCAGAACCTTAGACTAACTGCATTGAATAAGTGGGATTTCTCGAACTCCATTAAGGACAACAATGTAGGTTACACAGCGACACTATGCAGACCAGCAGAGTACTACCGCCCCTTTGTCTCACGTACTTCAGACATGTTATCAGAAGAGACCAGTCCCTGGGAAAGGGCACCAGGCTTGAAAAAGTAGAGGGTCATTGAAAAACCCTCAACAAGGAGGACTGAGGGCCCACGATGGGTTCCAACCTAACACTTGTGAAGATGGCGCGGGACCAGGCAGTGTCTCTTTCTGTTGTGCATGAGGCTGCTATGTGGCAGAACAAAGTTCAAGCTCCCTAACAACCTAACGATGCATAGAACCTCAGAAATGGTAACTGTGTGGGAGCAACCCGCCTCATCTTTCTCCTGCAGAGCTGTTGACGGGTTTGTGTTTGGGCCGGGTCCGAACTAGGCAGCCCTGTTTGGACTAAGCTGAAGCAGGTCAGGGCCCTGCACGTGCTCCCTGCACGTCCCAAAGGTCAGTAGCAGCTGGCGCCAGATAAGCTAACCAGTGAAACCAGATGTGGGGGTGGGGTGTGTGTGTGTGTGTGTGTGTGTGCTGAGCATGGCTTCCCTGATCTGTTGACCTAGGTCACGGGACCTCAGAACCTCCTCAGGGAGCTCCCCCTAATAAAGCTATTTCTGCTCTCCCTTGTCCTGTCAGTTATGTCTGTCTGGCTCCCTGGACCGCAGTTTCACCTTTACAGTTTGAACCTCTGACTTTGTGGTTAGCCGTCCACAGCACCCCTAGGCTCCCGTAAGGGCTCCAAATCAATTGAAAGCAAAATTCTTAAGGAGCAGCCTCTCTCCCCGGGACGTGGTGAGAACCCAGCAGAAGAGGAATACGCAATAAAGCCTACTGGGATAACCGTTTCTCTCATCGTATCTAGTATTTCAGGGCAGCAGAGAGTTGATAGTGTCTAGCTTCCTTCCAGTGACCCTAAGCTCCTGCCACGCAAGGGTCCTGGGGGCAGGAAGCAGGAGAATCCCTCCTAGGGAGATGGCGGGTCCCATTATGATGCAGGGAATGTTGACGACTGGGAACAACAGGGCTCCGGGATTCTCCTCACTGCACTTACAGCCCAAACAGCCTTCGTGGGCAATGGCCTCGAGGACGTTGGACGCTGGTGGGGTTTCTCGATGTGACGCTTCGGAATACCTGGCAGGTAAATAGCCTCCCGGCAAGCAAACCCTGGGACTCCCTCCCGCCGGCCCTACGTGGGGAGCCGCGGCGAGAGGAGGCTCCCCTAAGGGGCCCGAGGCCGGCCGGCCCCCGCGAGTCGACGCGGGCCACGTGATCCAGCGCCTCACGTGACGC